CGAATCATAACTGGAACTGTTCGACCGAGCGAACGGAAAAATATGTATGTGTGAAAAGCTATGCCCCATACGTGTGACTCACCAAGTTCGATCGCAGAGAGTAGAAACGGAAGCCGATTGAGCGAAAGACAGCGGTGATGCTGAGCGATCCAACGATTGGCATTAAAAACACAAACAAAAGGCTAGACGCCGCCGCATTCCCAGCTGATGCAAGTGAAGGCGAGTTTTGAAAAGGGGGCGATGGCGATGGTTCTTGGATGTCCCTTTGTAATGGTGTGGTGTGGTGTTGCAATGTCTGCTGTTGGGTTCGCTGGAGTGACAACAACCTGCTGTGGGAAACAGACGGCATTAGTCTAGTCGCCTGTCATGTCTCTTTATATAGGTGTTCGTGGTAGCGTGCCTTGATTACGCCACCTTGAAGTGCTGGTCTAGGAGCAGCGTAACAACACGCCTGCCTGCAACGTCCCATACCGCCACGTGGGAAAGGCTCTTTTTCGGTGGACTTAAGGTTAGCGTTGCTGGTGGACTGGCGTCTCTGTCGTAGTTTTTCATATTATTTATTGCTAACTCGGTTTAGAAAATGAACAGCATTGACCAGACCATGCTTGAAGTTGGCGAGTGCTCTATGCAGCGTAACCTGTGTACCCGAAACATTGCGCCACTTGACACAAGCTCCAAAATGTGCCGTGTGGAGAAAGTTGGACATTGCACTCAGACATTGCACAAAGAGCAGCAATCCGGGGAGGGCCCAATGGGATGAGCGCATGGCATGCTTAGGTCACTTCACACAAACTTGTTCAGTCATGTGCAGGAACGAACCATTTGTGCATGTCATGGCTCGTTGCTGACGATGCCGCAATACCCGCAAGGAAGGTGCAGTCTTCTCCCCGTAAGGAAGGTGCAGTCTTCTCCCCGCAAGGAATGTGCAGTCTCTTCCCTTCAACATTTTGATGTCATCCTCTCCATTTTTTCCGTAGAACTCATTGAAGCATTTAGAGGACCACGATGCAATTTGGGACGGCTGCATTCGAAACCCTTCTTCGCGTACCTGAATGCATCACGGTCCCATCACGCCACGGAACTGAAATGCGATCCCATTCTAGTGAAAGGTTTGTTCGCTAATGGAGGTAATCAGCGAAGCAATCTTGGCATCGCATGTCCTATGCGCTGTGTGGCCTTGTTCAGTGCTTGTTGAGATGCTAGTTGTTAATTATATGAGCCTGATCCATGCCGAGGAGGCAGTATCCTTCGCAAGCTTTTTATAGCATCGGGTCAAATCTTTGAATTGACGACAAATTAGCCCGCGCGACCTTCACATCATCAGCAAGAACTATTGGCATTTGTCAACCCTCGACTGTTCCTGGTGATAGATACCTACATCAGATTTTTATGACAGCGGCAGAAGCGTCAACCCGGCATGGACCGGGCGGGCGGGGGGGGGGGGGGGTGGAAATTTGTCCCCTGTCCAAAATTCGCGATAATTCAAAAACACCTTGAAATATCGCTGCGAAATTTGTCGTGACTGTTGGTTGGTAAGTTCTACGCCTTGCGCCAAAAAACAACTAAGAGGCAATAATGGCATAAGCGTGACGTGGGGGTGACGTCATGCTTGCTGACTTTTTACAAAAGCGCGTAGCCGTCGGCAAAATGACATAGGAGCTGAACGAGAGAACATATTTTACACATGCAAACGGGAAATGTGAGGCAATCAATCCATCATTCATATGTTTTGTCACTGTGCTGTTTCAGTACTACAGAAGGAAAAATTGGCATGCCAAATAACAAAAATATTGATGAAAAGTACACTCAACATTTTTTTTTATCTCAGACTCAAAGTTACGAAAAATTAACGACGCTATCGTCGATACGACTGTGAAGTATGCGTATACCACGTTTCAAGCAATTATCTGTGGCAAACACTGAGTTATGGCTTGAAATGCATCACAGCGCACGTCACCCATGCCCAGGTGGGCCCGGGCCCGCGGCGGCGGGGGGCGGGGCTCAGGCCTGCCGCGGCGGCGCGGGGCCGGGTTGGCGGAAGCCGTTCTCCGTTTCATACGCAAACCAACAACCACGTGACTGGCGGCATGGTTGAAAGGCACCAGGCTGCGCTGTCGGCAGGACCAAAGCTTCGAAAACAACACGAAAATTGATCCAACCGCCTATTCAACAGCGGTCATCCATCTGACCTTAACTTTAAACGGTTCGTGAACAGGCACAGCTCTTGCTCACATGATTAGCACCCATAATTGCGGCTAGGTTCTCCCAATTCGCGTTTAAATGGTTCAAATATGACGGAATTAAACATATCAAGTTAGACATATAGACCGAGGTTTCAGCTCCCATTTACGCAGCGCGTGACCTCAGCTCTAGGTCTCGTACGGTGCGCGTAACTTTAGGCACCTTCCTACGCAGCGTGGTTGATCAGGGCGCAATGATTTCACATCATGAGATACGTTTTTAAATGAAATGCGTTTTGGAAGCGATCAAATATTCCAAAGCAACATTTTGAGAATTTTCGGAGACCGCACGCCGCGGCGCTATCGATTGCGATTTGATTTTTGAGTTCGGCCCGGCCGCTCTTGAAATAGGCAGGGGGTCAAATATTTCCCCCCCCCTCTCCTGCCTTCCGGTTAATGGTGTGCTGCTGAGGAGCCCGATCAATGCCGGGTTAAGAAAGAACATCTGGTTTTCACGCATCGTTTTTCACGTCACGTCTTTTCATTTCGTTTTGGGGTTTTAAATGAAAATCTAAATTTGAGATGACCACGGGTCACAGCTTTGCTATCGAGCGCATGTGAAGTTCAGGATAAGAGCCAGTGAAATGACGTCAAAGTGTGTCAAACAAATGGTATATTGGCAGTATTCAACATTTCAAACTGCATTCATCCTCCAAGATGAGCTCCAGGAGACTTGCTTATTGTACTAACATTGGTGATATTGTATTTCAACTGCTTTTCCTTCAAATACCCGGTAGCGTTGAAGTGCAAAGCAGCCTTTGTCAGTGTGTGGGATCGACACGATGACCGTGCCTGATGAACAGCTAAAACAACTCAAGCTTGTAACCGGTGAGTTCGAAACGGCACGGTTACAAGCTTTGTAACCGGCGAGTTCGAAACGGCATGGTTACAAGCTTTGTAACCGGCTAGTTCGAAACGGCACGGTTACAAGCTTTGTAACCGGCGAGTTCGAAACGGCGCGGTTACAAGCTTTGTAACCGGTGAGTTCGAAACGGCACGGTTACAAGCTTTGTAACCGGCGAGTTTGAAACGGCACGGTTACAAGCTTTGTAACCGGCGAGTTCGAAACGGCACGGCTACAAGCTTTGTAACCGGCGAGTTCGAAACGGCACGGTTACAAGCTTTGTAACCGGCGAGTTCGAAACGGCACGGTTACAAGCTTTGTAACCGGTGAGTTCGAAACGGCACGGTTGCAAGCTTTGTAACCGGCGAGTTCGAAACGGCACGGTTACAAGCTTTGCAACTTTGTAACGGCCCAGCGCACCACGCGGCCTGAGCCTTTTGAGCAATGCAGATGAATTGCCGGGCGCCTGAGCGCACGTCCAGACAAACTATTACCGCGTGACCAGTGGCGGTTGATCGACCTTGTCTAATGCATTACCTCGTAACCAGTGGCAGTTGATCGACCCTGTCTAATGCGTCGATCGGACTTCATCCTCGCAACTGCATCCCGCCCACCGACTGCGCCCATTCAGCAGAGGGTGGCAGCGGCGAGCGTGACAGCACCCGCCCGGCACGCGACCTACACGTGACATTGCCGGCTGGGTCTCGTATCTCGCGTATGACGCGCCCGCCCGCCGGGCAGCAGCAGCAACATGTTTTGATCTCGGAGGCATCCGACTTGCGACAGCAGTCGGCGCGGAGACGGCCGACCAGCGCGCCTCAGTGTAAACCCCAGCTCAGTGTAAGCAGACGACTCATTATGTCGAACGGGCCGCGAGGGTAGCTGCTCGAGATCCAGTGGCGTCGCAAGACGATCAGGCCATGACGGCCCATCCGGCACCTGCCGAGGTTCTCCGCTTTGACGATCACCTGACTTGTGGCCATCGCGCCCCTCTGGTTGCCATTCTGGACCGAACCTCATACCGCAATATTCAAGGTTTCCAGAAACGTAGAAAACAAATGGATGGAGACGGCACATAAATGGCCATTTCCTTCAAGGTTGTCATCTCTGCACCACCTTTCTATGGCTGCATCGTCTTATTAAAAGCAGCTGTAAAAGGCGCTTTGACCATGCTCGGCTATCATGCTTCTGTTCTAACTCATATGTTTGGGCCTATTCCGGATGTTTGCAGATGTACATAGATGACGTGAATTAATAATTGTCAGTTCAGGGCCAGCGTGGCATGGGCCGGTGTTCCTCATCAGTTGAGCTTCTGGAAACCAGTGATTGGCGAGGCACTTGTATGGCTCCGCCCTGCTAGCATCTCATCAACAATTTAAGCCGGGCCCCGAAAAACAGCAATACTGCACAAGAAAATGTGGTCCAGAAATTCGTACAGATTGTTGCAACTTGCATTGTGCAATACGTGAAAACATGGTGCCAGATTCATGTCGTACTGGGCTGATAGCCCTTTAAGCACTATCCACATCAACGTCTCAATCTCGGCCATGCTTCCATTTTCCCGAACGGGTGCCATCGACCCCTGTATCAAACGGCTCTTCGCGCTATCATACGCCTCCCAGCCACAGACCGTGTAACATGTTACGTGTACGTGTACGAACAGAACCTTAACATACCAAAAATCCTATGTTCCATCAACTACGAGAAGATGGAACCAGCTCCCGCCTGAGGTGTTATCTCTCAGACTTCTCGTTCCTTCAAACGGGAAATATACCAGCGCTGCAGTGTGGCCATGCCTCCAGTGTAGCACAGCTTTGGATCCAGGCTGGGCCTCCGACCAGTGTTGCTTCAGACGAATACTATGGTGATCATAGGTCATGGAGAGCGCTGCACGTTCGGCCCGGTGACACACAACCTCGCAACCCTCATGATTTATATTCACTACAATTTGCCAGTGTGCAGTAATTTGCGCAACGGCATTGCAAACTCTTTAACTACTGACTGCATCTTTAACATGTCATCAGATGAGCTCCTTCATGACACCCCCGCCCTCTTCCACTCCTTTTTCATCCGCTCCAGTCTGTTCTGCAGCCACTTCGTACAGTGGGACGCCGCCGGCCTCCGCTACTCCCATTTCCGGGTGGTGTCGATGTAGTCGCCGTCTGGTGAGTCGTACCCCGGTATAGGTGGCGTTAGCGTCGGCCCGCGGTGCTCGAACGGCACAAGAGCCGGGTCATCCTGAGGGGCGCACGAGAGAACGCTCAACGGCCAGCACGCCCCCCTGTTCTGGAGAACAACCCATCACACGCGGCGTAGTCGATGAGACACTGCCGGATCCAGACCAGACGGCACTGGCATCAGAGCCGGATCATCCTGAGGGGCGCACGAGAGAACGCTCAACGGCCAGCACGCCCTCCTGTTCGGGAGAACAACACATCACACGCGGCGAAGTCGATGAGACACTGCCGGATCCAGACCAGACGGCACCAGCGCCAGAGCCGGATCATCCCGAAGGGCGCACGAGAGAGCGCTCAACGGCCAGCACACCCTCCTGTTCTGGAGAATAACACATTACGCGCGGCGTAGTCGATGAGACAGCTGGACTCCAACGCGTCCGAAAAGCATACGCGCGTTAGACGTGGACACTCCTGCCGCCCTTCACTTTTGGGAGGGGATATCTTAGATGGTGAGTCATGAAGGTCTATCAACCTTCGACAAGCTGCCGCGCTGGCAGGACAAATATCCAAAAATTAAGAACAGAGCGATCTATCTTTATGTTCCACATTCGTTCTGTCATTTGACTGGCGGGAATTTTAAGCCCTTTCCTATCCATTGCTGGCAGGAGCACTACAGTAACCCAGGGATGTTCTTCTTAACCTATCAAATTTAAACTAAATGTAGCTTTCCTTGGACAGTATCCTTGGCGTGCACACGCGACAGTGTCATCAATTCTTACCGATATGGCATCGCAGTAAAGTTCATAGGACTCGGCTTTCAGCTCTTCCAAAGCTCTTTCTTGTGAGTCCCGAATCCTCCGAAACATCTGCCAATGAATCAACAGAAGTCAGCGGCATTCTACTCGATACATATAGACGTAAAACATCCAGCACTGCCAGCTCCCTGTCTGTTTTTCCACGGGCATACATCGCATATCATCTACGCCGGTAAGACGGACTATGCGGTGAGATAATGGCAAGCTGGCAACATACATAAAACATATCAATTATCAATGACAACAAAACTCACATCAATGGAAACAGACAGGTTTGATGACCGCACAAACGGGCCCGATCAATCCATTGGAAGTTCTGTCTTTCCCGAGAATCCAGCAGGTGACGCTTATTGGTATGGCCCTTGTCATAACCACAGTCAGCTATCTGTTAGAATCCGTCCATGCCGTTACAGATTGAGTCCACGTGCGCGCGGTCACGTCTGGAAGTCATCAAGCGCCCTCGTTACCGAAATCTGCACATCACTTCTAAAAACACCAAGACGGCTGAGCCCATGGTTCTCGCTGGAGCGCGAACCATGTGCAGGTCAACGTGTGTCTCCGGCTACGAACGTTGACCTGCACTTTGCCAACACGGCCGATCGTTTTGTCATGCAACGATTACATATGTTGGTCTCATATCACCGTGACACTATGTCGTCGAGACCTAGGTCCAGTTTGAGCTGTGCTCCGCAGCGTTTGCAAAGACAGAAAGGTAACCACGAATTAAATGCGCTATTCAAATGTAGACGTCTATATTTCGCCCAAACTAGAAACTTTCAAAATTTTCACATGGTGTTTGATTTTTGTTGCATATTTCAGGAAGATCACGCTAGATCACAAAATATCGAGAAAACGGCTTGAGATTTATGCAGCACAACTTGTAAAGCATTGAGCTTTTTGGTGCTGAATACTACATGCGTGTGCCATCGATGGTCGCAAGGATGACAGTTTCTACAATACGTGTCGGTCCACACACACTTTATCTTTGTTCTTGTAGGTGCGCTTGACATGAGGTCCCGCTCGTGATCATTAAACTTCGTACACTATAGAAAAAGATAATTACAACAATGTACTAGCACTGCGACAACGCTTTCCGATGCCTAGGAATATCCCAAATTCGTGTAGGTTGCTAGTTGCAGAGATTGACATCAGTGGTCTTTGCGTAATTAAGCGTCCTTTCATGGTCAACAGTCATTAACACACCCCTGCACAATGACCCTCCCCGCCTCCAGGAAAAACCATGAAAAACAGACAAAGCGAAGGCCTTCCAAGCCTGCTAACGGCTACACTGCCAACTCCCCCCCCCCCCCCCCCCGTGTTCCGATCTCCAGCCGATGGACGTACCGCCACGTCTGCCACGTGCTGCTGCCGCTTGTAGCGGGCCCAGTTCTTCATCAGGTCGAACCGCTGATCAGCTTGCTCCGACGTCAGGCTCTGCGTGGGCCGCCGTCTCTCCCTGCCGGTGGGGCGGGGGGGGGGGGGGGGGGGCAGCGTGAGTAATGTAAGCGACGTGCCGGGCAACACAGGGACTTCAGCAGCGGAGGGGCTGGAGCAATTGGAGCCAAGCGGTTCATCGGCCAAGAGCTGTCGCGACTTTTCACCCCCACTCTGGTCGACGCCCCTACATCTCACAAGCACGCGACCGGCCGTCTCCGCGCTGACCTGAGCTCCTGGCGGACGGGCCGCGGCAGCTCCAGCTCGTCGAGCGGCTTCAGCTGCCGGGAGCCCTTCTCCAGCCGGCGGATGGCCTTCTCCAGCTTGCGCCGCTTGCGCTCCTCCCGCGCGCGCACCACGGCCGGGTCGATGCGCTTCTTCTTCTTCAGCGGCTCCGCCCTGCAGCCGGGCCGTAGTCAGGTCAGGTCACGTCAGGTCAGGTCAGGTCAGCTCGGGCCGGCTGAGGTCAGATCACTAGAAGTCCGTACGTGAGGCATTGATCAGGTCACCAGTAACGTCTCACCTCAGGCCAGACCAGACCCCTTTAGACGAGGCACAGTGGTCAGGTGAGGTGAGCGGATTATGCGTGAATAACAGTTGGATTATGCATGAATGACACATGTTGACACATGGCACTGGTCGGCCCACTTCTAACCAAAAGATGAGCCTAACGCAGCGTGAGCCCTCGTCTTGGCGAGGCAGCGGTCGTGCCAGCGCCGCGAACAGGCGGCGTCCGGGGCGACCCCGCATGGGTGGGGAGGCGCGCGGGGGTACGGCGGAGGATACTCGGCCCGCGCGCGCACTCACCAGAGCGCCGGGGTGAGCCCGATGGCGGCCGGAGCCGAGGTGGTGATGCTCCGACTGACACCGATCGTGAGGCCGCAGAGGGCTCTGGATAATCTGCTCCACACACACACAAACACAAGTGTACAGATATGATGCCAAACACTGTGGGTGATGCTCCAGGTTCCAATGTGCCCCAGGTTCCAATGTGCCCTCTTCTTTAATGAAGTGCAAAAATGCACCAGACAATGCAACATATCACAGGATGGGCATGACTTCAGCAATTGGAACACTCTAAAACCCCAATCATCATTATCAGTATATCACAAGAGTCTATATAATGTAAGCAAATATCTTCTGTGCCCTCCCCCCCCCCCCCCCCCCCCCAACACCTTACCAGACTGAGGCACATACACAGATGTGCCAGGTTTAATGGACCAGACACTGCACCAGACACTCACCAACACTGCTGGATTGATATTGCAGACTGGAGTGCAGCCAATGCAATAGATTGCAAACATCTACTTGACTTACTTTGCATCAAGGGCAGCTGCAGGCAGGCGTTGAAGGGCTGACCACCCCATGGCCATCGCCATCCTTTTCCTATGACTGAAACAGACCAAAAGAAAACATTGTTTACTTACCAGGTTGATCTATCTGTCTTCCAAAACATCTATAACACATATTGGTGAGTGCAGCACTCACCATCCACTGTTCTAATTTTTATGCTCATGGTTAAGTCACATTTTGGTGTTTTCTGTGCAAGCATAGTTTTCCCCTTATTTTTGATGAAGTGCAAGAAATATTCAAAGGAGGCCCTCCATTTCAAACTTTGGAGCATTTAGTTTCCTTGGATTAGGACACATCCCTCTACTGGGACTTTCAATGTCTGTTGACTCGCAATAGCATACTTTTTCCTCTGAGCTGTTGTTGTCTGATTGATCCATACACCCTTAGGTTACAGTGCCCATCTTTTGGCTTCCTGAAGCTGGGTGCCCTTATTGAACAAAATGGTAGGACAATCTTCGGACACCCAAGGGGGTCCAGCTCTTTTGGCCCCCTTTCTCTCCAGGTGATCCAGGTGATCTTCTGTCTTGAAAAAACACACTCCCCTCCCACCTAGTGAGGGTTAAGTAAGGAATGATCTCACAGAGTACCTCCCCATAACACTTAGAATACCATGTTGCCACTATATAGAGCAAAATCCTCATATTGGTCCTTCTATTTAGCATGGCATCATCACATGTTCTTCAATAGCTACTTGAGGTATCATTTTGGCTGGTACTTTCTGGTGTCCCATGGAAGTTTCAGCACCAGATGCTTGAACTACTTTAAAAAACAGCATTTTATTTGGACAATTCTTAGTTAATATAAATGTTACCCTCCACCAACAAATTGAGACACTTGGGTGCAAAAAATTGTCTTGACTAAACAAGAAATGTGCATTTATATTTAAGGATGAGACAGAGAGCATTGCATTTGGGTATCCAGCCTACCCACTACACTGCAGAGGCTAACTGCATGCAAAGCTTACTGTGGTGACAAGATCTTCCTTATTTCTCCCACATTTTACAAGCCCTTAAACCATTGGCATGATGATGCAAAATTAGAAACAGCTGTAGCTGTCACAGGACCACTTTCAGTCACAAAATATAAGAATGATGAAAGAATCAACACTAAGTGGGTAAACAATGATAACTACAGTAAGTAAAGCTCATCAATGTTGACAAATACACAAAGATAACCAAAGCCAATTTGGAAACTGATAATTTCTGAAACAATAACATGAAAACACAAAGCAACAAACAGCATTTAAAAATTACAGCAATTGTATTACAGCATAATGTCTCACTTAGCACATTGACTAAAAGTCAGTAATACATCATCTTTTCATAAATCAAATAGTCCAATAGAATTAAACTAAGAATACCATTATAGACACCACCATGTTTTACACACAATAATCAAAGATCAGATGCATAGGTCAGTCTGTCCCATTAGTTCCATTCATCATTCGCCAGTCATCCAGTCATTATAAGAGACGGAAATCACCTTCATCTACGCCAAAGCAGCCCTTAAGGCCACCACTTACGGCAACAGCTGACACCTTTGACATTGGAGAAGGTTCGAACAGAGAAGCAGGCGGGCGTGCTCTCCCGCAACACCGCAGAAATTCGGCGGCGTGCCACCCAGTCACTCGCCGACAGCACTTCACACGGGTCCTTTTCTGGTAGCTTCAACTTCGTTATTCGCCGAGAGGGGAAAGCGGAGCCCCGTCACCAATCCCGCTCAAAAACCGGCTCATCCTAAATAAATCGGCCTCTTTCGAGAGGGGAAGCACGGTAACACCACACGTATGCAATTTTGCTTCGATAGGCTAAACAATATGGAAAATGCGGTCAACAAGGACCAGGGACGGATCCAGCGGGGGGGGGAGGCAGCCTTGGCCCCCCTTGGATCCTCTTGGGGTCCTACGCTCTTGTCGGAAGCCCTACCTGTTAACCTGCTCGGGCACACTCGATCATTCGGGGGCCCTCCGCATCGGATCTTGGGTACTTTCTATTTCGATGGAGGGCCCTACGCTCTTGACGGGGCCCTATCATTAACCTGCTCTGACGCACTGGATCATTTGGGGTCCTCTGCATTGGGTCTTGGGTGCTTCCTATTTGAATGGAGGTCCTTACGCTCTTTTTGGGAACCTTCTGTTAACCTGACCGGGCACACTCGTCGATCATTCGGGAGCCCTCTACATTGGGTCTTGGGTACTTCCCATTTGGATGGGGGACCCCACGCTCTTGACGGGGGCCCTGTATGTTAACCTGCTCGGTGGCGCTCGATCGTTCGGAGCCCCACACCTTTCGTCGTATTTCTCATTTGAATGGATGACCCTATGCTTTTAGCGGGCCCCACCTATTCAGCTGCTCGGACCGGCGTCGGATGCAAAGGGTGGGAAGGGGGGGGGGGGAAGGAGGCATGGAGCCATGCCCCACGGATCATGCCCAGGGGTCTTTAGGGTTCGAAGGGGCCCATAACCAGTCGGACGGACACAGTTTTTTACAACAAAAACAACGAAATCAGATGCCTTTGGGCCTCCAGGCGATCAAGAACCATTGTTAGCAGAAGTAAAGAGTTCATAAGTAAACAAAATATATTTTTTGATGATTGAGGTGTTGCTTTGGGAAAAATTTGGGGGCTCATTACGCTGCCTCCAAGCATTATGCCGTGGGTTACCTGACCCTATATGTCCCCTTGCCGGATGAGCATGATCGCTAAAGAGCTTTCCACGTTGCCCTTGATCTCTTTGCATTTTCTCATAAGGTCCAATGTACTGTTGGGACGCCATCTGCCTGCATGCCTGAGCACTGTTGATCGAACAGGCTTTCCTCCACGGATTCTTCCCATTCGCCCGAAAGGTTCCTCACACTTTTTCCGGGGTCCCATATGCCAGGGTACACTCAGTTGCTCAGGGGGCCTTCACATAGTTCTCGGATACTTTCCACTTGCTTAGAGGGCTTTGTGCTGTTACTAGGGCCCTTATAAGAAGACACTCGATGCCCAGGGGCCCTCTATTTTGATCGAGGGATCTCCCTTTGGTCTTATTTGCGGAGGACTCTTCACTCCTATCGAGACTCGTGTTGTTAGCCTGCCCGTGCACTCTTGATGGCACAGGGACATTAATTCATGGTCTTGGATAATTCCCCTTTGCTTGGAGGGTCCTGTGCTACAGCTGGGGCCAGCCAGCCTGCCGGGGCACTACTGATCGGTTAGGGGCCCACCACGTTAGTCTTGGATTCTTTTTGCTTGCTCTGTTGGCCCTATTCTTGTTGGCGGGCGCCACCGTGTTGGCTTCCTGCGACACCCATGATCGCTCAGGTTCCGTCCCTATTGGCCTTGGTGCCTTCGCCATAGAGCAGCAGGCGGATATGCGCCGATGAATTTTTACGCGGGGATGCCGGACGTAATTTTACATGTCGCCGACGTCGCATGTGTGATTTCCATCGGCTATTGAGTGTATGACACTTAGCATACTAGTGCATCGTGTTCTCAATATATTTTGAATGTTTTGATATGTTGCACTCCTTCATAATCAAGGAAAAATTTTGCATTAGTCATCAGCCATCAACAGATTACATCACTCCGCCGGCTAGCCATAAAAAATAAGCTAGGAATCAAGTCCATGCTTGGTTTAGATGGTTGTTAGCAGCAAACACAAGTTTGTTGCCTGTTGTTCCGCAACACGTAGCCTCAAAATCATAGCACTTAAAATGATCTGTGACAAGTAAGTGAGCTCTATGTGTATGTATGCGTAGCACGCCTTGGCTTGATAGGGCTGTGCACAGTAACATGGATTTCTCAATTTATGAAAAAATAAAGAAGCAAATACAAACATAGACATATATATATATATATATATATATATATATTTATTTATTTATTTATATATAAATATACATAAATGTTATATATATATATATATGTATTACATACGACCTGTTTTAAAATGTAGTGACCGAAATGCAAGGATATTTTTTGGAAGGGGCTCCAAACTCCGGGGGGCCCCACTTTGTGGCGTTCCCCCCCCCCCCTGGCAGAATCCTGGATCCGTCCCTGACAAGGACCGTCATTTAAGATCACAATTTATTGCATATATGTGGGAAAAAACGTGAGTAAACGCTTGCTTACGTTGGGCGCCGGGCCGTTACCTTTTCCCGGCATTATTTGTACGTACCACGGGGATAAGTGGTGAATGAGTTCCCGTCAGACCGTGAGACCTTGGAGGGTGTGGGGGAGGCGGTGTTGTAACAAGTGACTCGTGACATAGCGACGTTCTCGAGTAAGAGCGGTGCATTCAACCAGTGCGCGTTTAACCGTAAGCTGGACATAACAAGTCTCGCAGACCGGTGGTGCAGAGCGACTGAAAATGTGACTGTGGCTGAGATGAGTGTAGCCACATCTCAAACGCATCAAAACCACTTCTCTCTGCCTGTTTTCCTGGTGACACGTCGCCCATGGAGTGTGGGTTTATTCGATACATGTGGCTAGCATGCGAAACATCCCTTTAATTCGGCAAATACCAAGCGAAACTGACTTTGGCTAAATGGAGAACATAACCTATTGCCGGAGACAATATCACGCTTGAACAATCTTTAGCACGTCAATGCTGGGAACGCAAGCTTGCTTGACAAAAACGCGTACGTAAAAGTTCCTAAGCATCAGTGATGCAACATCGATTGTTGGCATGTAAAACGCTGCTATGAGAACGTTTCAAAAGAAAATCGATCACCCGGTTATCAACTTACGTCCCACCCTTCCAATATCGCCTGAATACTTTGAAAGACGGATTCATCTGTCAGTCATAGAATGAAGCCCGGCTATTTTTAGCTTTCCGATCTTTCGTTCAAACATCATAGTTTGGGAAATGTTCTGCGGTCTCAAATAAATCATAATAAAAAAACCTTAAAAGCGAACAATGTATGTAAAAACATCATTTGAGCACAAGGATGAACTTGACAACGGCAAAGAGCTGTGACTTTCTAGACTTATTATTGCACCACTCATCATGAAGCGGTTCTCTTTTCACCGTTACACAATAACCTCCAGTTTCCGGTCGGTTATTTTTGGAACATGAAGCAGGCGTTCATGTGCTTTAACACGCTATCCATGCGGTGTTGTGGTTTTGAGCTGTAGCAATCCCCTTTACCTTCTGGTGCGGCCATGTTAGGGTTTCGATGGGAATACACGCATCTTTTGACATTATCGGGATACATGGCATGCGACATGCAGCCATAGCATGTAGTGATGTGAGCTAAAATGCCCTTTTCCTATTGCCGGTGATGGTGTCAGTATCTCCGTCGGACGGACTGCATCTGAACATGATAGTGCACACATCAGACAGATGAATTCCAACTTTATGAGCGCATTAATGTGAAAGCAACTTTGTCGATGAAAAACATTCGAGGACAAATGTTCGTCGTCGTCACTAAAAGCCTGTAAAAAACTGTAGCGAAGGTAGTTTTTCATAAGCTTCATTCTTGGCAAACAGTTGCAAACGAACTTATCCATAAGGGCGCTTACGATGCAAACAGTTTCGTATTGAACTTTTTCAGACTTCTGTTTTGCCAAACAAGATTTTTCGTCAGGATCTTTTCACATTGTGAAACTGACGTCGTACGCAGCTGATCTTGGCGGACTTCATGCGTGCAAAATTGTAACTTGCAAACAGTTCTCACACGGTCCTTCCTGTACGTGCTTTTGACCGAAAACAGAGGCAACACTCATCAGGTGTCACCTGCTCGCTGTGCCAATAACTTTGTTGAGGTCAAAAATACGCACAGAAATACATCGTGGAGCAATTTTGTATTGTCATACAGTATGCATGCCTCAAATACAATGCATTACAATAGAATAGCAGGTATGCTTAAGAGCTCGTCATGCAAGAAGTTAATCATGCAAATAGCTACAAAAGACACAGGTTGTGTGACAAAAACACGCCGGGAAACTATCGAGGCAAACATATTCTGGGTAGACAAGTTTATGCGAAAAGTCTTATGAGTTGTTGGAATGCCAATATCCTTCAGCGGTAAGAAAAAATCGTTGTAAGGATCCACACGTCGCCATGTAAAGTTCTAATGCCAGTACTGTGCTTGTATGCATATATTCACACATATGTGCTCCTCAGGGGAAGGGTTTGTTTCAGTTCAATACGGACATTACGTACCATGCATCACTCATATATTCAAACGATATCAAGCTAGCGCGCATCACGCATTAAGGCACATTCGCATAATCAGCCATGATAAACCCTGCACGTTTAGGTCCGGTCGCCGACTCTTCATAAGACTGGCTCGCTAATTTTCTATTTGGATGGTCCTGTGCTCTGTGTACGACTGAGTTCTAAAAAAAGTTATATGGTCCGAATCCCCGTGGATGCCTTCGTGTGTCATGCATTAATGCTGAATACCCTACGAAATATTCATGCATCTCTTGTCCTTTATCCTGGCTGTTCGACGATCAATAAGGCTATCAGCAAGGCTATTAGGCTATCAGTACCGCCTTATGCACGTGCGATGTTTCTCAGAGTCCGCTGAACAACTTCCGTAGCTTTAAAGGGCTCTATAATGCTTAACAAATGTTCGTGTGGTAGATAACATAATACATGTCCAAATAAAACCTCGTGAAGAGGAATGAAAGATAAACACGCCTAAAACAGCACGGGCTTGAGAAAAACGATTATTACAGATGTTCAGTGGCGACAGGGCTTAGGTGTTGCTGCCCCCCCCCCCCCCCCCCATCTTGCTGCCATAGAGATCGGCATCGACTGTGGCAGATAACATCACGACTGTAT